TCAGTATGGGAATCATGACAAATTTGCATTTTAAAAGTAGTACAACATCTTTAAAATTTTTCTCACAAGTATCTGAAGTGGATTTCATACTAGAGCGTGTTGTTGCACTGACCCTATTAGATGCTAATAAGAACCTAAATAAAATTCCATTAAGTATTATTGAAAAAGGAGAAAAATAATCGTATACTAGGACGTGCTTCCCCCACTCACTCACAAAGCTAAAGAAACCCTGTCCGAGACAAAGCTTCAAGATAAAAGGGAACTTGAGTCTCTAGGGGCATTCAGTTTGTTGCCGTAATGGAAACTGAGTAGAGGTCACTCATTCATTTACTTTAAAAGGTTTTGGTAACGGTGAACGAAGTCAAGATTAACCGTTGGTCTAAGATCATTATTGGAAACATAAACCACCTAACTATTCCTATTAGAAACAGGTTGATTTAATGTAAAAAAGAGATTAGTTGGGAAATGAAATTGCTAAAAGATGGGCACTTAGCATAAGCAAGAGAGTAAAAGAAAAAAAAGGTTATCTTTAAAAAAATTAGTTATTTTTCTCTGAAATATTTATAAATTTTATCTCACATATTAATGTGTATTAAGAGTGAGCTATCTACAGTAAATAGGAATGCAAAAATTGTTTTTTAAGGACAGTAAACAAAAATATTAAAGGAAAACACTGTTGAATGGGAGAAAAAGCAGATTAGAAGTTTCTTAGTGTTCCTAAAATTAAGAGTCTCATAAAGAAATAGACAAGTTCTTGTGAGAAGATGAGACATTTCTGGTATTATGACATGATTTTATTTGTAGAATGAACTGATTTATGATGTTGCAGAGAATAACAAAAGAGCTTTCTTGTTTCTTCTTTTATCCTAATGTGTTATGTGAATCGATCTAGAAGACTATATAACTGAAAAAGTCTTTATAAGGAAGTAATGTAGATTGAACTCTCAATCCAATTAGAATCAGGCAATTTTAGAGCTAAGTTTGCTTTTTAAAGAAAGAAACACAGTTCATAAAAATTGACCCTAAATGATTGCTGGTGAATTTGCTAATTCTTCTGGCATTTTCTCCTTGAGTAAATAACTACAGAGTAAAACCTACTACCACATTTTTCATCTGGATTTAAAAGATATAGAAATAACAAGCCAAGAGAAATTTTAAGTAACCTGGATCAATTCAATATGTGAATGTTTGTGCATACACATACATCCACAAACTTATTCATACATTTTTTTTCATTGAATGACATATACTTCAAATGGAATAAAGATGTATAAATTAACCTCTCCTTTAAATAAATCTCAGTAAAAGAGTGAGAGAAATGCTGGGGAACGTCATCCTCCTGTTAGTTAACACAGCCATTAAGGGTGAAAATTTTTCTGCTCTTCTATCCTGTCAATTTAATCCAAGTAGCAGATCTGTCTACCCATCTAATGCACTGCATGTCTTTACCAACATTTGGGCAAAGTTAATGTCGTATGTATTTATAACTGAAACTGGAAGCTTAAGACCATCCTTAATTGTGGTCTACTAACACTGCAGTCCACTATTTTACTAATAAAGGAAATGGAATGATTGTTTTTTAAAGCCCAAAGCGACAATGGCATAAAACATGTAAGAAAACCCAATCAGGATGAACAGCGTATGTGGTTTATGTTTATTTCTACAAGGTCTTAGTCTCCATATAGAAGAAAGAAAGAGGAATTAGATCAAATTCAAAATATACTACCTAAGTACTTTCAGACATCACATAAATTTAATCTATTATAAATTCTTATGTAAGCATTGATTATGTGAGCATTGACAAAAATAAATTTTGTAATAATATTTGTTATGACTTTAATCTTCCCTCTACTATAGCAGGTTGGATTTTTACTTTTCTTCCTTGCTGTATGCTGCTAAGGAAAGGGGAAAGAGGAAAGAAGAAGAAAATGGAGAGAAAATATTCTAAGAGAGAAATATGGTATGGATTTATATGAGCAAATAAAAGTAACTGTTCTACATTTTTAATCATCTATTTCTACACAAGTCACTGTAGAAGTCCTTACCTGTTTGAACAATCTCTCAACAGATTAAATATACTGTGACTTTCATAACTATTAAGTATTTGTGAGATTGCCCCAAATCAATAATTTATAAAATATACTTTAGAACTATGCTTTTGGTTAATGAATATACTAGAAGCTGTGAAAATGAATTCCTTTCAGATTGTCAGTCTTGCTCAGGGTTTTTTTTTTTTTTTTTTTTTGCCTGAAAGATTCCCTACTTCCCAGATTAAAAAAAAATAGCTTAATGGGTTTTGACTCTGTCAGTATCATTTATTTGTGCTAACATTAGAAAGAGGGCAAATAAATAGATACAGTTTCTCCACTTCTCTTACTGTTTTCCTCAAATTACTACTAGTATGACATTAATTCCTTCAGGAACTATTGGTACTTTTTTTTCCCCTACTCTGTGAACTAGTGGAGGCCAGCAGGTAACAGTTTGATCAAATAGAAATTTTAAGCTTTTGAAATTCTCACATTCAGCAAAATTTCTATGAGTAGTCAGAAAACTTTACTTCTGATCCTAGTTCAACCTGTAACTGGTTGTATAATCTTGGGTAAGCCATTACATTTGGCTTTAGCTCTTTGGAATACTGTTTCTATAGTCTTATCATTTCTAAGGCAGGTAAAATTTTAGGAACTTCATTTTAAAACTCCTCTGACTTATAATTTGTAGTGCTCCATGCTCTGGTGCAAGGCATCTATCCATTTCAACACCGGGCCATTATAACTGAGCTTAAAATCCACATTGGAATGTAGTGGTCATAACTGTAGCATGACTCCAAAAAAAGTACTGAAGTTGTTGGCTAAATTTATATGGTCAGGTGACACAGCTTATTAAGCCTCCAACATATTCATAATACTGGTTTAGACATATTTTTGCAATTCTGTTTTCAAAAGGACTATCTCAGTATTTTAAAAATTATAAGAATTTAAAATCACCTGTTTTCTTCAAATTACAGTGAAACTGAGTGGCTTGCAAAGGGCCATATCACTGATTATGGAATTGCTTATTTATAACAAGAAATCACCATAAGCATTTTATTGTCTTAGATTTTCAATAATTAAAAACATATTAAATGTAGTTAACCTGATACCATCAACTAAAACTATATTCAAAGCAGAATACTTAGCCTGAACATGAAATCCCATGAAGAGTTTTTTTTTTTTTTTTTTAATTTATTTCTAGGAGAGAGAGAAAGAGAGACAGCGTGAGCAGGGGAGGGTCAGAGAGAGAGGGAGTCACAGACTCTGAAACAGGCTCCAGGCTCTGAGCTGGCAGTCAGCACAGAGCCCGACGCGGGGCTCGAACATGACCTAAGCGAAAGTCGGACGCTTAACCGACTAAGCCACCCAGGCGCCCCTGCCATGAACAGTTTTAATGTTGTTTTTTTTTTTTGTTTGTTTTTTTTTTTTTTTTAATTTATTTCTAGGAGAGAGAGAAAGGAGAGAGAGCGTGAGCAGGGGAGGGTCAGAGAGAGAGGGAGTCACAGACTCTGAAACAGGCTCCAGGCTCTGAGCTGGCAGTCAGCACAGAGCCCGACGCGGGGCTCGAACCCACGAACCGCGAGATCATGACCTAAGCGAAAGTCGGACGCTTAACCGACTAAGCCACCCAGGCGCCCCTCCCATGAACAGTTTTAAACCACTGAAAAACCACTTTGTACATATGAACAGATAGACAACATCACATTAGGATTTGCTGCTCGTAATTACAACTAAGGAAAAAAAGGAATCCGGGTTGGATCATCTCACTGATATTTCTCAGTCTCAGCAAGCTGGAACTAGCTCACTAAAATTTCAGGTGCACCAAAAATGAGTAAACCCTGATTGCACTATATAATCCAGGGAAATTAAGTGTACCTGACCCAGTTAGGTAAAATGGGCTAAACTTTGTTGCCAATCAAGTCTAAACATGATTAAATACACAAGTGAAATAATGTAGACATGTTTGCTTCTGTCATTTATTATATTTACACTTAATAAAATATGCTGGATTCTCAAAATAGAACTGCAAAAGAATGAATTTCTTCTTAGTAAAATATGTTGGCATCTCAAGATACAACTTCAAGAGAATGAATTCCTCTGCCCTAACATTTGCTCCAACAGGTTAAGTTGGATTCATAGCTCTATGAATCAGCATCCTTTTCTTGCGAGGAATAGCAAGTACGTATTGAGGACCTACTGTGTGTCTTGACACTATGCTGAAATGATCCATCCAGAATTTCATTAAATCCTCATAAATACTCTATGAAATAGGTATTTTCGAAAAGGGAATTTTCAGAAGGGGAAAGAACTTTGTCATAATTCATGCCGCTACCAATTGGTGAAGACTGGACGTCTCTGACAACTTACTTTTTCTTTTTGTTAGCATCATAGCTGCTTTCTTCCTTCTTCACGGATGCTCCTCGACATCACACATTTCCATGTAAGCAAAATATGCAGGTTATAGAGCCCTTGCTCTTGGTTCCTTCAGGCAACATGAAGGGTGAAATTCACTTGCGCACCGAGTCATCACCTTCTCTAACCTCAACCTTTATCACATGTGGCTCCTGAGCATATAGTGAAGCATTCTCTCTGCCACTGCTCTCCAACAAAATGTGCTGTACCTTTTTGCTTTGGTTCCCCTGCATGTCATTCATTAAGCACACTGATGGGCACATTGAAGAATAGAGTGAATGAAACCTTTTTAACATTTCTCTGCAATAATTTCCTTTCGGTAGAGGATGAACATGACTGTCCGCTTGCTCAGACTGGAGCTCCCGGACACAGTAGGGCCTATGATAGCCGCCATTTGCAAGATTCTCATGGTACAGGAGGTAATAGGGCATGAATTAAGCCAAAAGTGATTTTTGTGTTGGAGGTCATTCCAGTTAGGTCATCTAAAAATTAGAAACAGAATATACATATATGTATAGATATTTAATTGGAAGTATGTATGAAATTATGATTTCTGACCTGGATCTGTTGCTGAAGCAAATTGATTTTGTGTTGTTGCTGCAGGAGCTGCTGCTGTTGTCTCGCAATCTGTGGAGAAATTGCACATGAAAAATTTAAAAGTATATTGTCGTCCCAGGGGGAAATTACCAATGTTCTGTTGCTCAAAGTTTGATTTGACCCTGATTAAGAGGATGAAAATAGATGTGCCTGTGCCCCTACGCAGTACCAGCAATTCATTCTTAAGTAAGATCAAACAAGGTATTTAGTCTTCTGGAACACTTTCTTTCGGCCTAAAACAAATGAAACCTAGGACACTATGACACTGATCCAATCCAGTATGAAATGGTAGAGTGTCAAAAATCCCTCTTCCTTCCAGGCAATACATTAAGAGCGTGCGGCCTCTGGCATTTTTTAGCTCTTTCTACAAAAGGAAAGTATTGCATCAATAGGGGATTGTTTCCACCTGGGAGTTCAGGGTAGCACAAAATATTGTGTTAGGAGAGGCTGTATGCCTTCATGAGGTTTTGGTATTTGTTCCCCACCCCCCCTCTGTAAATACTGCCTTTATTCCTACTCTCCACAAACCCCTCAACGGCTAACTCCTCAAAGCACTCCATTATGGATTCTGCTCCCAATCTCCACTAAAAGGATTCATCATAAAAGTTATCCGTCAACATCATTTTTAAAATCTATAGTGTTTTTTAGACCTCACCTTTTGGTCTTTCATCAAAATTCAACACTGAAGTCCTCTCCCTCGATCTGAACTTTCTTTCCTGACTTCTAAGACATCACATTTTCCTGATATTGCTCCTGCCTCAGTCTGTTTCTTAGTTGCCTTCAATCGCCTGTCCAGCCATTCAGTGTCATAGTTGTTTATGGCTCGATTTTAGACTCAATTTTCCCCCGTGTGCCAAGTGTTTATAATTTGTTTCTCTAGCCTACACCTTTGCTTTAAGCTTCAGACCCATTTTTCCAAAGGCGTTCTCAAAGATACTTCATATTCTACAAGTTCAAAACTAAACTCAGGACTTAGCCCTCCATGCGGTCATCTTTAAGTGTTTTCTAAGCCAGGGACTAGTACAATTATCGCCTGTTATTCACTCTTGTAACATCCTGTATCTTTACTTAATCCTATACAACATACTATGATTTTACATTTATTTTTATTTTTGTTTTAATTAACACGTTACTGTCAACTAGGTCAAAATCCATAAATACAGTGAGGTCAGGGATTGTGTGTATTTTCCTCACTGTTTGTGCCCAGCCTGGAGCAGAAGGGATATTTGATGAAGAAACATGGATGAATAGATGAGAAGAAACTTTTAAAAACTTTATTACATGCTGTCAGGTAGGAAACCTTCTCATGAGAATGTAACTTCTAACTTCATAAAACTTATCACTCTTTTGTAAATTAGCTGTAGTTCTTATTCTCATCATGTTAGAATCATGATTGTTTTCATTACAAAAGTATGTCCCTTAAGCTCTGTATCAGAAAGCTAAAAAGTCAGTAAAAATTTGACACCTGCAAAGTCTGTACTCTGAAAGTAAAGAAATTGTATGAGGAACATGAGTCTACCTGGCTACACAGTGAACTTTTTATTTCCCTTAAAGGCACTGGTACAAATTACAGTTATTTACATGCTTCCATTTTATCTTAGGAACAGGGGTTTTGAAAACCCATTTGTTTGTGTGTTTGTTTGTTTGTTTTGCCTTGAAGGAGGAAACAAATGGTAGGAAAAGGAGTATCACTCTTTTCCTTAAATCTGGTCCTTTCCTCCCACATATGATTTCAGCTGATGTTTAAATTTAAATAATCTTATCAGCACCTTAAGAATTTATCTTTTTATCACCACCTTGAGGATTTATCAAGACGATGACTACTTTACACAGCCCTCCAGACTTCCTCCCCTTCCAAACCACTGCTGTCTCTCCTGGATTATTGTAATAGCCTCCGACTACTCTTTCTGCTTCGGCCTTTGCTCCCTACAGGCTGTTATATATCAGTATCTGGAGAGATCCTTTTAAAATATAACTTGTATCATGTGATTCATCTTTCAAAGCCGTCTCTCCCATCTCTCTCACTCAGAGCAGAAGCCAGTGTCCATATGATGCCTGCAAGATCCCGTATGACTTGGCCTCCTGCTACGTCTCTGGTTTCATCTTCTCCTGCTCTTCCTTTTGTGCCCTGTCCTTCCCCCCCACCCCCACTCTTGCCACATTGCTCTCCTAACTGTCTTTTGAACGTACCAAGGATGGCTCTTATCTGTTATGGATAAACCTGCCTCTGGGCCTTTGCACTTGCTTTCTCCTCCATCTGGAACCCTCTGTCCCTAGAAATTACACTCCTCACTCCCTCACCTCCTGCAAGTGTCTGCTCAAATGTTAACCTGTCAATCAGGTCTTCCCTGAGATCCCAATTTAAATGAGCTTCTCTCTCTACCCAGCACCCTCATCCCTAATTCTCTCCTTTACTTATATCCCTTATCAACATCTACTAAACACTGTTTATTTACTATCTTTTCCTAATTAGAATTTGACACATTAGGAATGCTGTATCCCAGTAACTAGAATAGAACGGGCATCAAATCGGTGCTCAGTAGATATTTGTTGAATGACAGAATGTGGAATGGAGCTTAGACTTCAGTGGGAAAGCTGATCAGTAAACAGGTTCATTAGCAATTCTAAGGGCTATAATGGGAATAGTAGAGTGTACAGAGTAGGGACACCCTACAATGAATAGGGAGTTTGGAGAGGAGGGCCAGAAAAGGAGTTCTCAAGAGAGGATATACTTAACTTGAACCCTAAGGAGTAAGAATTAAATGTCTTTCAGAGATTTCCCTGTGTCCTAATGAAAAGATCAACGTGACCACAACCATGGTGATTATGTACGTCAGTACTGCATGGCAGAGAAGATCTTGGGGAGCAAAACAGGCTCTAGAAATCTGACCTGAAGCTTTCAAAGGGGATCTTCACTCAGGCTGTGTAAGCATCATTGCTCAGCATCTCTCTAACAGAGAAGAGAAATTCTGGAAGAACCTAATGATGTCTAACCTTCCACAGTTAATGTCAGAAAAAGTAAAAAAAAAAAAAAAAATTCTAGAATCCTTTGATGATATGTGGGGATGGGCCAGAATGTGAAAGAAGAAGGAAGAGGACTTGGCTCTCTATTAGTGATTGCTTGGATTTTTCAGGACAAATATGCCCTTAGATCCACCAGGATTTTTTAAAAAGAAATATCCCAGCAACAGTTTCAGAAGCTCTTAGACTTTTCTAGAACTCAGGTATTTGAAAGTGTTGAGAATTATGAACAAGAAAAGAGTAATGTTTTTCTAGATTATCAGAGGCAAACATTGCGAACTTTGATCATAAGATTAACGCAAGAGAAACATGGGCCATATTCAACAACAGGCCAAATATATCTTCAAGGAAACTGATGAGGTATTTCATTAAACATGAAAACATCAATTCTGAAGTACAGATGAACCACCAAGTAAGGAAGAGTAAGCTGAAAGGAGTCTCCTCAAATGTAATCTGAATATTTCTTCTTTCAACTCTGCTAGTTTACATTTTGAAAACTGTTTAAGAAGGTTTTGCAAGGATGTGTGGAAACACAAATACCCCTGGCTAAATAATGGCCTTCTTCCACTTAGGATGGTGAATGGACTGAGCCCAGAATATGGGATGGCAAAGGAAGCTAGCCCCAGAAAAGATGTACCATCTCTATATGTAACCTCAGTCTACGACACCCTTTTTCCTTCTTTCCCATCACTACCAAATGTCTTTAGTAAAAGTTCTTGTGCATTGCCTCCATTTCCCTACTACACGTTTGTTAATTCTATGTCTCATTTCTACTACTAAAGCTCCACAGAAGCCACACTCTTAAAAGTCCAACAGTGAGAAAGTAAATGACAAATTTGATAGCTTTGCTTTTCTGGAATTGTTCATTTTCCTTCCTCTACCAGCTGTATGCCACTATCTCCCAAGGATCTACCCTTAGTTCCTTTCCATTTCCTCATGATATCACCGCTATTCTAATTTAGGGCATACAAACCTGCCATTCCTTTGCATGAAACACTCTGGTCCAAAATATTCATATGGCTGCACTTTTATGTCATTTAGATCTGAACTCAATTGCCAGATCCAACCACCCAATCTAAGAAACATTGCCTTGCCAAACCAATCAAAATTTATTAAATTACTGTAATTACATTCCATCAAATTACTTATCACTGTCTGAAAGTATTTTGTTAATTTCTCTTCTCCTTTGTTAATCACTTCTCTCTTTCCACCAGAATTTAGCAGTTTTATCTTTCCGGTTAATTGACGTACCCTCCGAAGTTAGCACGGTGCCTGGCAGATGAGAGGCACTTGATTACTATTTGTTGAATAAATGAATGAAACTTATTTACTCCAGTGGTTTAAACTACCATCTCTATGTAAACTATATAGGAAATTTAATTGATCCCTCTTTTCCCAACTGTCGATTGGTATATCTGGCTGTTTTTCACATATCTCCAGTTGGACAACCAACAGCTCTAATTCAAAATGATAAAACCATGCTTTTCCAGATTGCCCTCTTCCAGACTTTACCTAGTAACCATGGCTCAATATCTTTCCTCATTCTTTTGTCCACTCAAAATACTCAACTAATCATAAAATTTCCACCTGTTTATTCTTTCCTTCTCTTTTTTCTGTGGCCAATTAAGTTTAGATTCTAAGCTGTCTAGTTTAGATCCTCACTCCTTATTTAAGTTATTATAATAGCCTTCTAACTAACTTTCCTGTGCCATAAATAATTTTCTTCACTTGTTGATTCCTACTTATCGGCAAAGCTCATACCAAACACCCGTGGAATGAAATCTTTCATACTGTCCTTGACTGGAAATGTTCTCTTGATTCTCCATGATTCTATTTGGTACTTCTCTCATGGCACATCAGAATTTCACCTTGGTTATAATTACTTCCATGTTATATACCACAGAAGTAGCTGATAAACTTTTTCAGATCAAAGTGTTTTTGTTTGTTTACTTTGTGTTTTGCCCTTTTATTTACTCATGTGGGGTGGGAAGAATGGCTTTTATTGATCTTTGCGTGCCTAGGAGAGTGACGTATAAACAGCAGCCAAAACAATGCCTCAGAATTTGACTGTGCCTCCTGCTCCGACTCACCTGTTCTTGCTGCTGTTTGGCCAGCTCCATTTGCTGGCGCTGTTTCTCAATCTGAGATGCAGCCAGTTTCTTCTGCTCGTCGTGGGCAGCCAATAGCTGCTCTCGCAGACTGGTCAGTTGATTGATCATACCCATGAGCTGCCTCTCTTTCTCAGCTAGGCTTTCAGGAGTCCCTGGAAATAACATAGCAGAAAAATACACAAGAAAAGGAAAATGAGGAGAGAGTGATTTTTCAATGACAACGATTCGCTATTCTAAATATAAGGTTAACATACAAGGATATATCTACTTTGTTTCGGATTTTTAACTCAACAGTGAAAAGTAATGGCTATTTCCCCTTTACAAAATATCAGAATGAACAAATATATTGATTGTTTTTATGTAGGCCAAGTAATCATCCATAGCTTTTGATTTTACAAGTAAATCAAAAAATAATTGTGTGAATATCCACTATTTTAATGTTGTATGCTGGGATATGACAGAACTAAAAAGAAACCTAAAGCACAGCTCCTGGTCCTGAGAAGTTCTTTTTTTTTTTTTTTTTTTTAAGCAAATTAAAGAGGCTAGACAAAAACATGAACATTTAAGAACCATAGTTATTAAGAGATCAAGTTAGTATTATCAGTAATATGATTCTCCTTTTCTCCAAAAAGAATCTTAAAGAATTAGAAACAAGGAATTCTACATCAAAAAAGGGAAAGTGAACTATTAGCCAATAGAATTTTAGACGTTTTTCTTATATGCCACTCAGATGCTTTCTTCAAAAATATACCGCTAGCAGAGAAAATATTCAAGACTGAGAATTTAAATTTAGGCTATCATGAGGTAATGAAATATGGTGAGAAAATGAGGAGATCATAGCATAGCCACTCAAGATTAAGACTTGGAGAACAGTCATTTAAGATAAATAACATGCTCTGGATATTTAAAACATGCAATGAATGTTCTTTGGCAGGTTGAAATACTTATTTGATACACCAGAAATGTGAGTTCATTGAAACAGGAGCAGTATCACTTTAAATGTTTTTTTTTTTTTTTTTTTAATTCACCCGATAGATAAGACCCCTATGGTAAAGTACTCGCAGTAGGAGAGAACATACTTTTTAATTACAATTTTCACTTTAATATAAGACACTAAGCACTAGTTTAATAATGCATTTGCCACCTGTATATGTAATTAGATAGAAGGATCTGTTGTAACTCAGTTACTCTTCCCCATTTCACTGTATTTCTCTCTAACAATTTATGCTGAAGATGCATGTGCTTTTTAGGAAACAGTAGTAGCTATCATTAGTGGCCTATAATATTCATGTGCCCATTTGGAATGGAAATAAAGTTTCCAATGTAATTTAGGGCTAGAGAATAAATATCTAGAAAAGAAAGTATGAGTGAACAGAAGTCAAAAAGCATGCATTACATTCCTTATGATTAATACCTAACATTATTCAGGGCAGGTGCCCAATAAATTGTTGCTAATAATTTATTATACTTCAGGTATTTGGGTTCCATTGAACAGAAGAACACTTATTGTAAGAATAACAACAATATGACTGTTGCAATTAGAATTCTAATAATAAATAATCCTAAAATATACTAGGAAGTGGAATATTCAAGTGGTGGTAAGATCTACATCTTCACACGTCATCAGTAGAGAGGAATACATGGTTACCACATTTCTAGGAATACATACGAGGAAAAGAAACACATATCAGGTTTTGGAATCCTCATTACCTCAAAGAGTAATTTCACTTATAAAAATCTAGCCCAAGAAAATTATAAGAAATGAAGATAAGTATTAAAAAGTGTTTTATAAGAAATAATTAGAAACAATCTCAATGTCAAATTGGAATAATCAAATAATTATGAACACCCGAATCATAGAGTATTTTCCACCCGTGAATAAACTTTTTAAAAGAATATTTAAGGAGCTTTTTCATGATACAAAGCTAGGTCATGGGCACCTGGGTGGCTCAGTTGGTTATGCATCCAACTTGGCTTAGGTCATGGTCTCACAGTTCATAGGTTCGAGCCCCACATTGGGCTCTATGCTGACAGCTCCGAGCCTGAATCCTGCTTTGGATTCTGTGTCTCCCTCTCTCTCTGCCCCTCCCTCCCTCACACTCTGTCTCTCTCTGTCTCTCTCTCTCTCAAAAATAAAAATAAATATTAAAAAAATTAAAAGCTAGGACAAAAAACTGGGTAGCAAGAAAACATTTGTGAAAAGGCAACATACTGAATGGGAGAAAATTATATATGTGATAAAAAGGTTATATGTCCAAAATAAATAAAGAACTCATACAACTCAGTAGCAAACAAAACAAAACACACAACCAAAATCCAGTCCAATTAAAAATGAGCGGAGAATATGAACATTTTTCCAAAGAATACATAGGGAAGGTCAACAGGTACACGAAGAGATGTTCAGCATCCGTCATCATCAGGGAAATGTCAATCAAAGCCACAGGGAGAGATCACCTCACACTTGATAGAAAGGTTATTATTAAAAAGACAAGAAATAACAAGCATTGGCAAGGATGTGGAAAAAAGGGAACTCTTGTGCACTGTTGGTGGTATTGTAAATTGGTGTGGCTCTTATGGAATATAGTATGAATGTTTCTCAAAAAATTAAAAGTAGAACTATCACATGATCCAGCAATTCCACTTCTGGGTATCTATTCAAAGAAAATTAAGACACTGACTTGAAGAGATATATGAACCCTCATGTTTACAGCAGCAGTTTTTACAATAGCCATGATATAAAAACAGCCTATGTCCATTGACAGGTGAATGGATGAACACACACACACACACAGGAATATTATGAAGCGATAAAAAATGAATAAAATCTTGCAATTTGTGACAATATGAATGGAGTTTAAGGGCATTATACTATGTGAACTAAGTCAGACAGAAAGACAAATGCCATAAGATCTAACTTATATGTGGTATCTGAAATAAAAAGAGAAATAACAAACCAATCTCATAAGTTCAGAACAGAACAGCAACAGATTCCTAGTTGCTAGAGATAGGGATGAGGGGTAGGTGAAATAGATGAAAGGGGTCAAAATGTATAGACTTCCAGTTATAAAATAAATAAGTCATGGGATGTCATGTAGAGCATGGTGACTATAGTTAATAATGCTGTATTGCAGTGGCTAAGAAAGTAAATCTTAAAGTTCTGATCACAAGTAAACATTTTGGAGACTATGTATAGTGATGGATGTTAACCAGACTTATTATGATTATTTTGCAATACACACAAATATTGCACCATTATTTTATACACCTAAAACTAATATATTGTTTGCCAACTGTACCTCAATTAAAATAAAGAAACAAAGCATTTGTATAAATATCTCAGTGTATGCACATATCGATATTTATAGGAAAAAAAAGAATCAAATAAAAGTTATATATTAATAGTGGCTCTTTCTAGGTGATGGAATTATAAGCCATTTAAATATTTTTATACTTTTAAAGAAAATCTACTACAATTTTATCATAATTTACATAGTTATAAAACCTGGAAAAATGTATTTCATGTATAATATGTGGAGATATAACTTAAAAGTCTAAGGAGACATCCATTTACATAACTGGTGTAATATCAATGGGTAAAGAAATACACTTGCTTGTTGATGAGTAAAGCAAATATCATTTTGTCATTCATTATATGAAAAATTAACACAACCTTTTGTCTTCACTTGATCATAATCAATGTTTCTCATAGATACACTTTGTTTATTTTAAATTGTCTGAGTTTTATAATAGATACTGTCTCAGAGTCAATAAAATATTAAGATTTATGCCAACACTGAGTCTGTCCTCCAGCCCTAGTAACTTACTTTCAGATGCAGAACAGGTATCTCTGTGTGTAGATATCAGGGTTTAAAAAATTTTTTTTCTTAATGTTTATATTATTTTTGAGAGACACAGAGTGAGAGACAGAGCACAAGCAGGGGTGGGACAGAGAGGAGACACAGAATCCAAAGCAGGCTCTAGGCTCTGCGCTGTCAGCACATGAGCCTGACGCGAGGCTCAAACCCAAGAGTTGTGAGATCATAACCTGAGCCAAAGTTAGATGCCCAACCAACTCAGCCACCAAGGCACCCTTAGATCTCAGTTTTAAAATTCAACATGTATAAGGTGGGAAAGTTTTTAATTTTAAAATTAAAAGTTTTTAATTTTAAAATTAAAAGTTTTTAATTTTAAAAATTCTCTATTGTTTTTAACTTTTAAAAGCATTATTACTCAATCAACATTCTAAGCTAGAAATATTAACATCATCCTCAATCTCTTCTAAACTACCCTTCCTCCTGTCTGCATTATATCAACAAATCATAATATTTTTTTCTCAAAATAGCTTTGCTTCAGTTTTAATTTCAATGAGTCAAATGTTATTTCTTCAATATTTTTATGTTCACATGAGTGAATAATCAATAACTATAAAAGGGTATATAGTGAAAGATCTCTGAATACCATTCCTTCTAAGGTAACCACAATTACTATTATTATCCTGATCTTGTAAATGAAGATTTAAGCATATACCTGAATAGTCTGTACTAGTTTACAAAGTACCACAGATTGGGTGGCTTGAACAGAAATTTGTATTAACTGGCTAGAAGTACAAGACTAAGGTGTCAGCAGGGGTGATTCCTTTTTAGGGCTGTGAGGAAAGGAGCTGCTCCAGATCTTTCTTCTTGGCTTGTAGCTGACCATCTTCCTGTGTCTTCACATCATCACTCTCTGTATATATCCATGTCCAAATTTCCTCTTATAAAGACAGATGTCATGTTGGATTAAGGGCCACCCTAATTGACCCATTTTAACTTAATTACCTCTGTACAGACCTTATCTCCAAGTACAGTCACATTTTGAGGTACTAGAAGTTGGAGCTTCAACATGTGAATTGTTAGAGGGACATAATTCAACCCACAGAATTTACTTTACACAAAGGCTATCGTAATATAAATTGCTGCCATAGGGTATGTAGAGAGAGATCTTGTTCCAGCTTCCCTTCCCATCTCCACTGACAGTTTTCAAGTTTTTCATAAACTGTTGTGAAGAACATTTAATAAAACTTCTTATCATTAATTTTTCCCACTACAAGTTTATGCTCAAAACCGGTACCAAAATTATCTTCCTAGGAAAACAAATTACTCATGCCACTCCT